ATCCCGCTGGTGAAATGTTTGGGAAAATGAGCCTGGATGCAGGAACACACATTCACAGACTCGCTCAGACAAATAGTAGAATCAGTTTTGTGTGCTGGTGTTGCCAGGTGAGTAATTGCCTCTCTTTAAAGCAATCAGAGCAACAGAACCACAAACAGACCAGGGTCTTATTCTAAAATCGCTTCACTGATCCCCTCCATTTAAAGCAAGAATCACAACACTGCATACTAATACACCCTGCTTCAAGTCTAGTCCTTTTATTCTTGGAAAACAATTATAATAACACTGTGGACACTTAGATTTGATGTTTAAAGGTTTCTTGTTGCTGGTGTTAAGTTGAGCTTGAAGGAAAGTCAAGGTTAGGCCAGCATCTGTCATCATTAAAGAGTCTGCTGAGTGAAGAACATATTTTGCTTGCATAATATAGACATTTTTTTCTGGAATTCAGTATATTAAATATTAAAATGATGGATGGTCAAAATTTTAATGGTCAAAATTTTAAATACTTTGATACAAATACATAAATGTGAGTCTTTTTGAGTCTATAGCTGATGTTTTATCTGCACATCCAGAAAGTAGTTTAACACTTTACAAGTGCTGGATGCTGCCCCTCGGCAAGCTTCCAGATGCTGGTCAATGAGATGAAAGTGAGCTTTTAGTGCAGGGATTAAAAAAAGGGGGGGAACTAAATTGGAGTGTTTCAGACAGTGGTTGTATGAAGAGCCAAACTAAATCATGTGAAGCTACTCAAGTAAAGCCACAGACTAAAAATGTAGCAGAGAATGAGCTGCTTGTATAGCTAAACATTTCTTAAACTCAAAGATTAAGAAAAAAAACCCCATGCCTATTTTTTATGCTTCAAATGATTATTTGAAGCATAAAAATCGGTAACTTTAAACAAATATAAAAATACATAACCATAAATAAAGATAAAAATAGATGACCTTATTTATGACTTTCTTCTATCCACAAAGGAGGCAGGCTTAGTTTCGATTCCACAACAGGTGCAGATATTGAAAAGCATCTAAAAATCATTCAGTTAATTTAATAAACTGAATATTTTTATTGAGTCTCTCAGATATTAAACCTAAGTTCAATAACAATTTTAAATTTTTTAAAAGAGGTTTGCATACATAATTATACTTTATAAAAGGGTTAGGGTCACGGTCAGGGTCCGTTGATCGGCGGACAGAGGCGGTTTCTCGCAGCTTAAGTACAGTTTTTTGTTTTACGACAGTTTTTCCCGAAGTCGCAAAAGTATGACGTCACAACATTCTGATTGGTCACTTGCAATGTTGATCCCGGAACAACATTTACTGTGTTGATCTGGGAACAACAGCAACACGACGATATCAGATCGTGCATTGATCTTTCAGCGACCCTCTGGCAACTTCTGGCTGTGAAGGAAAACAAATATGTATTCTCCAACCGGTTGGTGAATGGTTGCTGGAGGTTGCTTGCAGTCATTAGGTGTCGGTTACTGCAACAAAAACCTGCTTGTGATTGCTTTAGGAGCCAGCAGGTTGCCAAAGTCAACAGCAGTTTGCATGGAAGCTGCTGACTTGTCTGCAAACACTTGCAAACTGCTTGCCAAAGCGTAGTAACAATGGTGAAGAGCATGATGTAAATTGTGCTACTTCAAAGTTAACCTGGAAACTTTTAATATGTGCTGGTCGTAGCAGTATTGTGTTGCACTTTTTCAAGTTTGACTACGGCTCAGAGAGTATAGGGGCAGGGTTTGTACAGTAGTCAAGCTGGTATCTTCCATAAAACTACAGCTGGCTGCAGAAATTTACTAGAAATCAAGTCACTCTTTGTAACTGATTTCACCTGATGATAGCCGGCCACCGAAAATACTTTTCAGTCTGTGAGGATAAAATAAAATAAAACAACAACAAAGAAAACCAAACAGACTTTGGCGAAGGAAAAAAAACCCAAAGCACCTGGCAGTGGAAAACACCCAAAATCTGATTGGGAATTTGTGAAACTGAAATTAAAAGATTTAATGAATCTGAGTAAAATCTGAAATGATTACAGAGTCAAACTGTCAAAATCAAGCCGTAATCAGAAATTCATGAACAAAATCTATCATATTTGTACACTTATCGATTTTATTTCAAAGGTTTATTAACATATACAGAGTAAAATAATTTTGCCTTGTATCTACATACATTTTGGTCCTTTTTCTTCAAGTCTAATATAAAGCAAAATTTATATTTTCACTTTTAGTTTTACTTTAGCCCTGTGGGTAAAATCCTGAGAAAAAGCTGACTGATAATCAAATTGCTGAAACAAAGCCAGTTGACAACAAACTGTGGTGGTGTTGTTGGAAAAAATCCCCAAACTTTCATTTGCCTGGTGAAAACCCCAAACTCTTTCTGCTTCAATAAAAAACAAGCAGACAAAGTCAACTCAATTCAGTCAATTCAAGGCAATTCAAAGACTGTGGCTTATCTTTTCTAGACATATTAGATTTGGCAAGATGGGTGTAACCACCATCTGACTTAATGAAAGGGAAAAAAA